ACCTGAACCTGTACCTACACATACACCTGAACCTGTACCTGCGCTTACACCTGTACCTACACCTGCACCAACACCTGCACCTACACCTGCACCTGGACTTGTACCTCCGTCGGTGCCAGTGCCTGTACCCGAACCTGAACCTGTACCTACACATACACCTGAACCTGTACCTGCACTTACACCTGTACCTACACCTGCACCAACACCTGTACCTACACCTGTAACTACACCTACACCTGCACTAACACCTGCACCTACACCTGAACCTACACCTGCACCTGCAGCTGTACCTGTGCCTACGCCTGTACATACACCTACACCTACACCTGCACCTGTGCCAGTGCCTGTTCCTGAACCTGTACCTGTACCTACACCCGTACCTACACCTACACTTACACCTGCGTCTGTACCTGAACCTTTACCTACATCCACACCTGCACATATACCTGCACCTGAACCTATAGCTACCCTTGCACCCGCACCCACACTTGCACCTACCCCCCACTACCCCAACCCCACCAGCTCCGCACCCAGCACCCCAACACAACTGCTAGCGCGGCACCACGGCCTCGCTAACCACCGGCCGGCACCCCCCCAGCACAGCGCAGAGGTGGCACGGCGGTTCCGCCTGGTGCTGAGACCGTGGGCCGTTGGGTGGGCTTTGGTTCTGGTGGTATCGGGACAAACGCCGCAACTGCCGCTGGCTCTTCACCCGCCGTGACCTGTCCCCGTCCTTTCCGACTGATGAGCGACAGCCACAGGGACACGGCTGCCGCGGTGACAAACCCTCGAAGGCGGGCGTGGAGGGAGCAGGCTGAATTTCTTCACGCGGTTATGACGTACAGCCCTACCGCTCCGGGCAGCGCGAACTCCTGCTCCCGCGGATATTAAAGATGGTATCCGAGTAACCCCGCGCCCCAGCCCTGCTGTTGTTCTTCCCCGTCGCGCTTTAATGAAAGTAATAAAAACAAGCTTTTTTGAAAGAAATAATTTCCGGAAGGAATAGACGCTTTGCTCCTTCCCTTTAACCCCTTTATGCCAGCAGAAAACAACCGCACACCAGTGGGTAGGTGGGTCTGAAATCCCCATTGGATTTGATGTTCCGTTATTATCTTTTTGCCCCGAAACACGCCAGCCCCGCAAATGAAACCCCCACCCCACCTCAAATTGCGCCGGCGTTTTTGTCATTGTCATTAAACCGTGTGCAACCGCAGCAGGGATCGCTGCGGGGGGGCAACGCGGTGGTAACACCCCTTCCCCTTCCATCGCGGATCCTTTTTGCTGGGGCTGTTGGCTGGGGAGGGGGGCAAATCATGAACCCCTGATGGACTGGCTGGTGGGGACTGGTCGGCGGCGGGGAACAACCCCAGGTCTGGTCTGAAATCCTTACTGGTCCCAGAGCAGCTGCCATCAGACCCACCTTGTGCTGCACGGGAACGTGGTGGGGCACTGGGTAAAATAAACCCTCACATAGATGGATTTAAGGTATTTTCTTTTTTCTACAGGCTTTGCTGTTCCTAAAATAACCTTGTGATGGGGTTTTGCCGGGACACCTTGGGCCCGTTTGCTACGGCAGGTCTCCAGCAGATGCGCCAGATGAGATGCTGAGACCGGTGATGCACAAACCAAAGCTCCTCAAGAAGCAAAAGGGGGTTGCACAAGGTTTTTTTTCTTTACCCCGGGGGGGGGGGGGGAAGTCTTTATTTCTCCCATGTGGCATCAAAACATGGTACAAAAAACCACAGATTCCTCGTAAAAACAAGTCCATGACTTCATCCCCTGGAGCAGGATCAAGGCCAACAGGTTGCAACAACCCCACGCTGCGGATCAGTGACTGCTCGAGTAATTGGGGACACCGCTAAGAGGAAAGGCAATGACTTTTATATGCATCGAGTTGTCATGAAGCGCCATACCCTTGCAATATCCACCCTTTTAATGCGGCGAGGGCAGCTCATCCCCCTGAGCGGAGGTGCTCGCAGGCGGCTTGGCCCATCGGCCGGCGAGCTCTGGGGCTGGAAACATGCCCCGAGGGATGCTGCCCTGCTCCGGGAGCAGCGACGGGACCGCACGAACCCAGGGAATGTCCAAAACCTCCCTCTTGGCTGGCTGGGGGTTGGACAGCTTCCAGGTGTAAGGGACAAATGTACGAAAAAAAGGTATTCAGGAAAGGTTGAAGCTGCCAAGTGATGTAGCGGGGGTGGAAAATGGTTATTTTAGCGAGCGAACCATTCACGGGACTCGTCATGGTACAGGGGTCATAAAGAGCTGCTGGTTCTTGGGTCGAGATTGCAGTATTTTGGGTGGAAGTAAGGTGAAGAAGGTAGGAATGGCCAAATAATGAGCCCAAGACTCTTAGGTTTGAACTCTCTGTTCTACAGTAAATGCAGGGAACGTGTGGGGCAGTTACATTTCTGGAGCGATCCCCCAAACCTGTAGTTTGTAAGAAATTGCTTATACCAGGATTATTGAAACTAGAAATGCCTTTTTCTGGAACAGCTAAAGGAAAAGTAGTGATTCCTTTAACACCCTCTGCAGCGTGTCCATTACTAGCTAAAAAGATGGATTAAACACTTTCTTTTATTACATTGTCCCAAGTACAGAGCTGATCAGCAGCAGCCTCAGATAACGAACAATACCATTTAATCAGCTTCATCATCCAACCTCTTGGGGATTTCTCCTTGCAATCAGACACAGCGATCAGCAGTTTGCTTGCCTTCCACAGAGCAATTTGCCTTCAAGAAGCAAACCCAGACCTCAGGTTCAGGGGATGCTTGCCCTAAGCTGCTGCCCTCCACCCAGTTAGGAATATTCTGGGCAGGAAACTTAATTGGGTGCTGCAGAAAGAAGGGGGTGATAATTAGAAAAAGCTGTTGCTGTCAGAAGAGGAAAAATAAAGCTCTTCATATCCCACTTGCCTCTCGTAAGCGTGGGTAATGGGCTGATGATTTCTGGCAGAGCCAAATAACCTTTTGCTTCCTCTTATCTGAATTATTGGGAGAGATTTAAAGCCAGCAGCTCCCACTGGCCCCTGTTTCTCTCTGTGTCCGACCAGGGCTGTAGGCAGACTGGTCGGAGCCAGTGCCAAAGGGTAATGAGTTGCTTTCGGATGATGAATGGTACCATTGAGATATATTGCACCACATTTCATAGCTCACTCTCACGCCACTGCAGGGCTGAGCACGCAGGCTGTCTCCCAGCTTTCAGTATCTCATCAGGAAATTCAATACCGAAATATTGTGTGCAGGCTCTGCTTTCATTTTCCGCCCTTATTCTGCCCCTGCCCCCGAACGAGCGGTGTACGAGCCAGACCGACCAGCGAGAGCGAGAGCTGGGCAGGCTGCCACGCAGCGAGAACCCTGGCTGTATTTTTCTTAAATTTGTGGATAGACCGAAGGGTCTGGATTTTGTATCTGTATGATTTTCTGCGGCCAGCGGGACGGTAACCACAGGACCACACTCGCAGTGAGACCGCCCGGTTAAGCTCCAAAGGGATTAGGGATTTTGGGACTTCTGTCAAAATCAAGCACAGCCCAGGTGAAATGCGCAGGAGGCAGCCTTTCCTTTTCATGAATTGGGCAACAGAGGCAATAACACTTTAATTCATCGCACTAGAAGCCAAACGCATGTTTGCACTGGAAAATAAGAGTTATGAGTAAACACTCAGACTGTTCCAGCAGCCAGGATTTGGGGAAGACCCTCCTTAGAACAAAATGATCAAAATGAGCTGATGTATAACCCATGGAGTGAGGTATCCCACATACAGCTTGAAATGCATATATCCGGATATTTGGGGCACATTTTAGGAAGATGACAGCATCAACCTCTGTTGATTATTTTCTTTGATCATGCCAAACCCAACAAACATGTTAATAATAACATTAATGATAATGGTTAGCAAGGTTTGGCTTTGTCAGAGCGTCTCCTTTAGTCTGGCAAGCAGAATTGTTAATTTTCTCCCCTGCTCCCTGTTGGAGTTAATCAGTAACTCGGGGCAGCGCAGAGAAAACGGGCCCCAAGTCACGCAGGAACGACGCGCACAGTGCAGCCCAGGCTCTTCGGCACGGGAGCATCCTTCTTCTGCTTTCTCCTGCAGTCATTGATTTCTGAAGATTATTAGCAAAATTAGGAACTGATTACGGCATGTTAATTGTTTCTGGTGAGCTGCAAGGAGAGGTTTCTGTTCCAAGTCGTGAGGCTAGGGAACTATTATTTGCTATTTATAGAAATATTATTTGCTTTATATATAGTTTTCAGACTGCTTGGGTGGGTGTTGAGGGAGGAATTACTCCATCAGCACCTCCAGAGGAAGCACCCCTGTCTGTCCTGGGCTCAGGAAATGAGCTTCTCCTCAAGTTTTGAAAGGATTTAAACCCCCAGGTTTCCAGACAAAAACTCAACAGCCTGTTGAAAAAGGAACTTTTTTCCCAACATGGTTCCATCAAACACCCTGCTTCAGGGGAATGCTTGGAAGGGACCCTGGGGTGGTACCTGGGCTGCTCTGCAGGGCCCGGGCCCCCCCCCCCCCCCCCCCCCCCCCCCCCCCTCCCCCCCCCCCC